TTTAATCATATAACAATGCAAATCTTTAGTGGACATCTGGACATTAATTATGGTCTTTATATATTGATTTAACTCAATGATCTCATAATAACCAATATTTTTAATATTTAGTGTGGCATGTAGAATGATTACTATTTATAAATAAATATTTTAATATTTTAATTTAACACAGAATAAAATGATAATCTAATTTTATACTTTATTATTTAAATATTTTTTTACCCTTCAACCAAAAACAACCTTCATAGGGAAAAAAATAGACAAATACAATGAAAACTTATCAAACAGTGTAATATAACACCAAAAGATTGAAGAGAAGACACCATATCCGAAAGAAAATTTATGCATTAGGATTGTATCATATATAGCCAAAAAGAACATATACAATGAAATTAATTTTATACAGTGACTATTAATCAAAGAAATATAATTTTTTTTATGAACAACATATCTCAAAATTGTAGTCCACCTTACTTTTTTTTTCTATTAATATATCAACATATTATCTAAATATAACAAAAAATCATTTAATATAGAAGGAAGAATCATAATTAACAAAACTAAAACGGGAAGAACAAGGAAAAAATTGTAATCTAAATTGTGACTTACTCTTTCAATAGATTTATTGTAAGTTCATCTAAATGTTAGCATAGCATTTTCAAATATATTAAAACCATACTGTGCCATCATATAGTTTCTTGCAATAGAGAAGACCAAGAAAATTTTCGAAAAAAAGGTTAGAATATGAATTCTTGTGCTTTTGAGTGTTCTTGATTTATGTTGTTATTTTCTTTCTCTATGTCTTAAATATCTATACATTTCAATAATATGTGGAAGATGAAAATAATTCAAGTTAATTAAAAATAGTGAAGTAACATATGAAAGTTCAAAAGAGTAATCTTTTCATTTACAATATTCATTGTAATTAATGTAAGTTAAGTAGTGCCTTCAAAATTTAAAACTGAAAAAACCTTTAACTTCAGTAATTAAGTGATGCATGAATAAATAGGAGTAATAGAAAGACTTTAGGAATCTTATCATTGTTTTTCTAATTAAAAGTCATTGACTGAATAAATTTAAACTTTCTTCCTAACTTTAAATACTTATGAAAATTAAATCGATATATATATATCATTGTGTAATTAAAATATTTATATTTAATTAAATAATAAATTTAATCTTAATTTAGTAAAAGGGCAAAATGTTATATATAAATTATATAAGTTTTAATTTATTAAAGGGGCAAAATGGTAATTTAACTTTTAAGTTTTTAGCTTCATGCTTATACTATTATATGATAAATATGTTCGATGTATATTAGTTAGTTTAACTCTTTGAATTTACAATTAATAAAGTGTTTACTGGTTTTTCTTTTGTTTTCAACTTTTTCATATATAAAGTAGAGCTTAATTAATTCTCTTGTGATCCATCCGACAATGCAACTGATGGTACAATCTCTTGTCTTTTACTTTTGTTACCTCCTAAAGAAAATTACAAATGGAATTTATGATTTGAATTTTATTTTAGTAGTCATAACTCAAAATTAGTTTAACGGAAAAAAAAATAATATTGTTCAAATTATATACAACCGAGAGTTATATGATTCATTCTATTTACCATCTTTCTCTTAAAGCTCAAATAGAAATATTCTTTATCAGTGATTCATAAAGTAGTCTATATTTTCCCAGATAACTATTTGAGATTCTAAAAATCCGCATTGAATTAGGTCAGGTAAAAAAAAATTAATTTCTTGAATGAACTCATGAAAACATTGTCCCACATTTCCTTCTTTTATGATTTTATGAATACTTGTTGGACCAAATGAGCCAGCATGCAGTCCTTTGTTTACTAAGAAAAAAGTAAAAAGATACTATGCTACTACTATAATTTTCCATTAACAATCAATGGTAAATTGAACATTATAATAAAGTAGAACAACAGTATATTTTCTCCCTTTAATTTTCTAGTAGTTGGAAAATGACATATCATTTACTAATTAAAGGATTAATTGCTAATTCAAGATTTAATGCGTGTGAACGAAACTTAAACGTGTTTTATCAAATAAAGTATTAAAGCAATTTTATTTTTTTTTGTCTGGCATGACATATGTTTGGACAAATTTAGGTCATGACTTGTTTATGTCCCCATTAAAATATAAGTAAATTTACCTTTAATTAATTTGAAACCACAAAAGGCAGGGTTAATACTTCATAGCGAATTACTGCTAATTAACTTAAGAATTTACAGAAATAAATTACTTAAAGAGCAATTATATGTAATTTTCTTAATTAAATAATCAGTAGTCGGAAAATTAATAATAAAAAATTGACAGAAATGTCACCTTTAAATTCTCTTATTACCATTATTCCCCAATTAGTTTTACAAATCCCCAAAATTTCTCATTTTAACGCATCAAATCAATATATTTCGCGCATCAAATTAATGTATCTCGCGCATTCAATTAACATATTTCGTGCATCATATTAATATATCTCACGCATAATTGATCATTTCTAACATGTCAAAAATAAAATATATACGAATTTATAAAACAAATTAAAAAAACTATACAGTTACCACTTAAATTATCCTTGTTATCTAAGCACAAAATTAAGATTAGTCAACCATCATGATAATGTTGTCATTTGACTTTGCACGTTTGAATACGATATATCAGGTTACACTCATTAGAAGCAACAATTATTAATTGGGGCAGAGCTAGTGAAATAGTTATACATGCACGTGAATTTAATAATTTTTGTGTACACTATATGTATCTACATTAAATAATTTACTGAATATATGTAATGTATTTAATTAGCTTGGAACCTAATTCATCGATTTGATTATTCTTATAATATTAATTTGAGATTGTTATAAGATAAATCATGTTTAAATTATTTTTTTTATATTTGCCTCTGATTATTACTATCATTTGTCTAATTAACTAAGATTAGATTTGGACATGTGATACATAGATGAAAGTTTAAGAAATTAAAGTCATGATGCAACCACTCTCATCAATTGAAAAATCTCCAAATAAATCATGACAAAAGTGGCAAAATATTCTATTTGTTTTGCTTGGTTAGTTTGGAAGCATGCGACTTAATATTTCTAAATTGGATTAAGGATTGATTCCTTAAGTCGAATTTTTTTATTATTATTTCAATATTAAATATTTATATTAAAATTTGATTAATTTAAATTTACATTATGTAGGATCTATTTGAGAGAATATCAAATATTTTGTTAGAACATATTTCCACATGAAATAATATGATATGATTTTTTTAATGTTTCAATTTGGTCTTTTTTAATTTGATTGAATTTCACTTATTTTCTTAGACTTTGTTGTTCTGAATCTCTCGTACTAAAGATATTCAAAATGTATCTTTTTTTTAATCGTTTTAGATATATCATGAAAAAAGTTAATTTTGAAATTAACAAGTTATCAAATTATGATCACTGTCGATTTAATATACCAAACAAGTTATCATATTATGATCACTGTATCATTTTTTTAAATCGTTTTAGATATATCATGAAAAAAGTTAATTTTAAAATTAACAAGTTATCAAATTATGATCACTGTCGATTTAATATACTAAACAAAATGGAGCTACCTTATATCATATATGATGAAGTCATGGATCACAATTCACATTGTTGTCTAATTAGGACTTGTTTTTTTTTTTTCAAAAGAAGTTATATGTCTCCCAAGACTTAACATTTTGGGGTCAGTTTCGATTACTAATGTCTGAATTTTTTCTATCAAAAAGTATGCTAAGAGAACAATTAATTAAATATTGATATTCGGCTTTCTTTTTTTTTTTTAAAAAAAAAACTTAAAAAGTCATTAATTTAGAGCAAATTAAGGATCATATCATAACAAAAGGCTCATATAAAGAGTCCCTAAATCCCCATTCCACAGATGATGTGTCATGTGTGGGACTCTTAACACATTAAACTTTGTTTCATTTTCTGATATTAATCATAATTAAATGCAACAAATCATACAAATAAAGATAAGGTACACGTATATGAACAATAAATTGTTCATGAATGATTACAAGTAGAACAAAATTATGTTGTCTAGATGAAATGTATAATTTCTAATTGGACCACCTCGTTTCAAAGGATATTTCAAAGTGTCAATTTGGGCATGCACATTACAAAATTTAAAGAAATTCAATGTATAATATATATATATATATATATATATATATATATATATACATAAATTTCTTTTTACCCTATTTGGTATAGTATTTCGACAAAGGTAACTCCACTATTGTCAAGATGGTCGTCTCTTAGTAATTTGTTTTTTCCGATTTTCATTTTGATGTTTCAATTTATATGAATTTAGTCGATTGGATACAAGGTTTATGATCAGTTTTAAATATGTCATAAGGAAAAACGATATTTTTAGTCCCTGTGTTAAGACTATATTTTTATTTTAGTCCCCGTGTTATCTAACTTAGCATTATTAACCTTCAATTATATCAAGCAAGTGATTTTAGTTCTTCAACGTACAGATTCAAAAAAAATTAACAGAGAGTTCACTGCTAAAAAGGTAGTTTGGATATTTCCTTTTCAATTTTCTCTCTTTGAAGAACAAGCTAAGTCTTCATTGTGTCTATCTAGAAGAACAAGCACGTCGATTTGAGCTACAATTTCAAAAATCAACTTGATAGGCATTAACCCTCCCTCTCACACCGACGAATGATAAATTATGCAATGAATGATTTTTTTTAAAAAAGTTTTTTGTTCTCTCAAGCAATTACTTTAAAATATCTTAATTACCCCGTTAAGCAGTGAACTCTCTATTAATTTTTTTGGATATGTTAGTTGAAGGATTAAAATCACTCACTTGATATAACTAAAGGTTAATAGTGCTAAGTTAAATAACACGAGAACTAAAATAAGAAATTAGCCTTAACACAGAGACTAAAAGTGCCATTTACCCTATGCGATAATATTTGTATAGTTATGAAAAAAATTCTGAATTGAATGTAAATAAAAAATTAAATTAAATAACTTTCAAATTTGAGAAAAAACATTCTTGTTAAATGCACTAAAAAGAAAATATGATTATGTTAGAAGTGTAGCATTCTTGTCTAGGATAAATGTACATGTTGAATAAAGCAAAGATGATAAAAAGAACATCAACAACACATGATTTACTTTATTCTTCCTTTGAATAAAAAAAGAGAAAAACTTTATTCCTCTTAATTGATTTATGGAGACATTGGCTATTAGAGGAGGAGCTTCCTTTGAAAAGCAAATACATGGTGCATTGTATATTGTAAAGAAGAAAGAGAAGTTCACAACACAAAAAAATGTGTTTATTACTCTATAAACACATTCTTCTTCTTCTTCTTTTTTTTTTTCGCTCTTTCCCTTTACTATTATTTGTCATGATTTTTATTTTTAGAGTCAAATAGTAAAAACTTTGACTAATATTTTACGGTATATTTTTTCATCATATTGATATGCAAAAAATTACAATTTATAGTACTTTCATATAATTTTTGAATATCTAAATTTTTTGTTTAAAATATCGAATTAATATAATTTAATTTTGAAAATCAGTCAAATTAACTTTCGAAAAGCGTAACATGACAAATAAAAATGGACGAAAGAAGTATTTTCTAGATTTTTCGCCGTGTAGCATTAAAATTATTTATATTTAGGACTATAATTTATTGTATTTAAGAATCTTACACATTGTAAGAGATTACCTAAATATATATAAGATTTTATCATAATCACTAAATGTTTCAATCATTTACAAAAATTTCAAAAAAATTCTCTCGAATTTATCACTTTCCTCTCACTGATACATCTCTATCCCCTCTTAGATACACTCCTCACATACGTATCTGAATGTCTGTTGGTGTATCCGAAAGTTCAATATGTATCAAAATGTCCTAATTCCCCCCTATGATACATCATTCCCCTCTCGGATACATCCCTTACCTATGTACCCGGATGTCTAGTGATATATCAGAAAATCCAATAATGTCTCCGAAATCTATAAATTTAAAGAAATTTTTATAATTGAAAAAAAAAGTAAAAAAATAATATAATTAATTCTTAACACTCATTTTACGACAATCCTTGTTGATGTTCTTCGATCTTCAATCTTATTTACTCACGAAAAGGACTAAAATCGAAACGGGCCTAGTAGAATCACGGGTTCTCGGTGGCCCAACTTTGTTATTCCATCTGTGGCGCGTGATAGCGACGCTTCATTCCATTTAGGAACAAAAATTCTTCCTCCCAATCATAAACGCACCAAACAAAGTCACCTACACCTACGGATTGATAAGTATTTTTTTATTCTTAATTGGAGCTTTTAGATTCAAGTTATATGAATATTAAATTGTCTTTATTAGAAAGTGTTTTAATACGATTTTCGAACAAAAATTCATCAGACTCTAATATAGATATCAAACACAAACTCTTTTTTTAAAAAATAGTAGGCATAAAGTGAGAGTAGAAAGCAATTGAATTGAATTCTTTTATGTTCCACTTAGAATTTCCTCCAACATAAGCCAACCACAACCTTAAATCTGCACCAAAGAATCAATCAATCACCTAAAAGAGTTAAATATAATAATAATAATAATTCTAAAACAATAACAACACTAATATTAGAAAACTTAAGGAGATCAAATTAGAGGTCTTTAAAATGGTGATGTTATGAATCAAATATAATTTTAGTTTACTACTTATAAATGGTGTACTAGTTATGGAAGTTTTAAAGAGGGATGAAGAAGATGTTAGTCCTAGATTTTCATTTCAAAAGAATGTATCATCATTGTCTTGTGTAGTACCACCATTCTTGCTCAGCCCACAAAAGAGCTTGCACTACAACAAGTTACCTGAGGAACCGCTCAATCTCACAGTACTCAAATTGGATGGCTCTTCCTTTGGTAATTTTTATTATTTTCCTCCTCATGTTCAATTGTCTTGTCAAATACTGAAATTGATTTCCATCTATATGTGTCTGTATAGACGACGAAATTCAGGATTTAGAGTCAGTGAGTTCAAATAGTACTGAAATTCATGTGTGTATGCCCTTAGAAATGGATCTAGAATTCAAAGATTAGTATTTTTTATGTGTGTATATTTTTTTTTAATAATTGGGGCTAGGGAAATGGGATGGGATTACAAGGTAGGGGAATGATTCCTACCCGAGGTCATAGTTCAAGTAGCCAACTAATTGGCCTACTAATATACAATCTTTGAGCCAGAAATTTTGCAAAAGGTGTGCGAATTTTCTTCTCAATTGTGTTAAGGGGGTGCTAAATTAAATATACACTCACAATAGCTAGCATTTAACCTCTGTATGCCACATAATTTTCAAGAGTGTGCACCAAACCATCCTTCACCTAAGATGGCTCCGCCCATGTACATATATGTATATGATATTTTAACACGTATGCATGGTTTGAGTCAAAGATAGTAGGACATTAGGTGCTATCACACTTACTCTATACTACGTAGTTTGATCCACTTGTGGAGCGCTAGTATTGATGTATTCAGGGGCGGAGCTAGCTTGGAGGAAGGGGAATTAAAATCCCTTCACTATTATGCAAATAGGGTAACAGGTAGTCCTTTTATTTTGTGTTGTTTTGTTATATACAAGTTTTCGAACGCCCTTGCACATGAGAATTCTTTTAGTGGAGTGGCAAAGGGGGTTCAAAAATTGCTTTAGGTAGCAGGCTTCATCATTAGTGATGTATCATATGTTTTCTTCAAATGGTCAGATCAATTGAATTTTGTGTCGTGCAGATATTAAAGTTGCAAGGAATGGGACAGTGGCGGAGCTGAAACAGGCGGTGGAATCTGCCTTCAGTCATTTTCCAAAGACAGGAACAGGCAAGGTTTCATGGTATGTGCATTGCTAAAGGAAACTTTCAAACTAAACTTCTTCTGTTGTAGATTGCTTGAGACTTATACTTCGATTTCTATCTAATGTAATTTGCATAGCTGTTTCACTGTATATTACCTTGGCTAGTTCTTTCGAATTTTTCACTAGTTTTATTGTGAAAATATTACAGGTCACATTTATGGGGACATTTTTGCTTGAGCTACGATGGGCGGAAGCTACTTACTGATAATGATTTGTTAGGAACCTATCGGATCAAGGATGGCGATAAGGTTTCTTCTCATTCATCATATTTTCGATCTAGGAAAGTTCTCTTTTATCTAATCTTTATATGATTTGCTTATGTTACTTGTTGCTAAACGCATTAGAATATGCAATTTGTAAAAGGAGATGTATAGGCTTTGAAGAAAATTGATTCTTTTTTAGCCAAATCAGAATCTTGACTTCTGCAATTGAATGTGTGTGGTTCGATATATTTCCGTTTATTTAGAAATTAATAAGCTCCTTCGAGTACATCTTCGTTAGCAGATAATTCTGAATGCACTTTAAAGAGGTGAAAATGGTCTGAAGAGAGACCTGTAAAAAAGCAGGTTCAATTACTAAGGTATCGAAGGCTCTAAGGAGATTCTGGTTCATATGAATTCTCTCAACCAAAAGAAACAGATTTATCATCAAAATATTTTAGATAATCGTGAAAATGTAAGGTTGCTCAATGTAGACAGATTTTCTCATGGTGTTTGCATATAGCCAGAGGCTGTGGTTTCTTTCACTAGACTGATTATTAATCCGATTTTGTCTGTATTCTGGTTTATGAGAGAGTTCAGCAATTTCTATCCACTTTGGAGTTAAGAACTTTTCAGATCATTGCTAACGATTATGTACTTCTTTTCGTTATAAATCCCAAGTGGATTTGTTTTAACATTTCCTTAACGCACTAACTCTTGATGTTTTTGCATGTGCAGCTCAGTTTTATGAGGCATGTCTCCATCAGTTACAATCTGGTCAAAACGCGATCAGAGAAAGAGGACTCTAGTAAGAATGAACCTAGCATGTAAGATATGTATATTGTTGGTTCATGTGTTCTAATATTGCACTTTACCCATGCCTGTTATGGTATTGTTTGCTATCGATGCTTGATTCTTCCATAGATTCCAAAACAGTTCTTCTCGGCCTAAGTTGCTGGAGACACTTGGTCATAAAAGTTGAATCTTGTTCATCTAGGTGTTCCCATACATAGTTTCTAATACTAGAATATTGTCATTTATATGTTCCATTTATAGTTTCTGTGTCGAATTCTTGCCAGTACTGCTCATCATCATACATATATAAACCTGGCTATGTCACTTTGTGTGATCATGCAGAGTTTTATGCATATTTTTATGAAATGTTCACTATATGTATTGCATAAGTGGTATCGTAAGGGCACATAGATAACATCATCTTTGAAAATGCATTTTGCAGATCAAAAGGCTGTGAAAGCAGACAACGGAGAGGAGAACGAGAGGGTAATCACCATCAAGATGACTTATCAGAGAACCAAAACAATATTCATGACAACAACAGGGGTGTTGCAGCTAATTGTGAGTCCAGGCTGGTCCATTTGTTTAGAGGGTGGCTCCCATACAAATTGACAAGCCCAGAGAAGAGAATGAAACAGAAGAGCAGGACATCGAGTTCACGCGATGGTTTACTTATGGAGTTCTAACAGTGTTGTGCTGTGATTAGTACTTTTGAAAGAGAGGAATTCATCAACTGTTTGCAAATGTCAAAGAGAGTTGGAGAAGTTAAAGCTCTAAACTTTTGAGTATCCAGTGACTTTAGTGTCCAACCTGATTCTGTAAACAAGATCAGTTGCCTGCCTATGCATCTCTTCTATTTCTTCATTTTGCATATCAAAATTAATTGTGTAGAACACTTGGTCATTAGAAACAACAAATCCACAATTATCAGACTTGAACTTCTGCATTCTGGTTTGGGATCTCCATGAGTATTCAAAAAGCGTTTGCGTTTTATGCACTAACAGTATACAAAGCTACTTACCCAATTCAGTCACAGGTACATCGTACTACAAGGATTAAATGTTAACTAATGGTATATGTCCTCTGACATCTTTAAAAATGTCATTGTGTGTGTCAGATCCTTCAAAAGAATTGTGTATTTTTAAAGAATCCGACATGAGTTTGTGTACATTTTACGAGAATCCAACAAACTTCATACTTGCCTATCATCATAGCTTAAAACTACACTAATAATAGAGTAAACATTATTGACACTGTTAGCATAATTACTTAAACCGAGATAAGAAATTAGGTATATGAATTAACTTGGGCATCATAATTTTCAAACTTCTTAGTCAATCTACCAACAAATAACAAATGTAACATTTTTTTTTATTTCCCATCTCATTATACCCGTCTTGGAGCCCTATTAATTTGAACTCGGGCCATTCAAGCATCCGTTACCAAGAATTATTATAACCTCGTCCACTGCATCAGGTCATTTGGAACAAAGATAATGACTATAAAAAAATAATACTCAAAAGAATGACCTCACGTGAGTGGCACACCCTTAGAGCTCCAATTCTCAGCCTCATCGTATTGTGTGGCATACATTGAGATAGCCTTTGCAAAAATCAAGAACCGAACCTCTCAAAAAAAGATTTGTTTTTTTTACAACTGCAAAATCCCAAGTTGAAGAAGAAGAAGCCATGGCCAACATGATGATGAGCTCCTCCAAAGTTTTAATCACTTCTTCATCCTCCACCATCCCTCCATCACCAAGATTCAAACTTTCCCTCACCCAAATCCCTTTTCCAAAACTACCCCTCCCCAAATCACCCAAATCCCTTGAAACCCTTTCAATCCCATCAACTCTCAAGTCCATTTCTGTCATTCTTGCAAGCTCATTGGCCATGGCACCACCTTCGCTAGCAGAGGAAATTGAAAAAGCTTCCCTTTTTGACTTCAACTTGACACTCCCAATCATGATGGCTGAATTCCTCTTTCTCATGTTTGCTTTAGACAAGATTTACTTCAGCCCATTAGGGAAATTCATGGATGAAAGAGATTCTGCCATTAAGGAGAAATTGAGCAGTGTGAAGGACACCTCTGCTGAAGTGAAGCAACTGGAAGACCAGGCTGCTGCAATTATGAAGGCTGCAAGGGCTGAGATATCAGCAGCATTGAACAAGATGAAGAAAGAGACTCAGCAAGAAGTAGAGCAGAAGATTGCAGAAGGAAGGAAGAAAGTTGAGGCTGAATTGCAAGAAGCTTTGGCTAGCTTAGAGAGTCAAAAGGAGGAGACAATCAAGAGTCTTGATTCTCAGATTGCTGCCCTTAGTGATGAGATTGTCAAGAAAGTCCTTCCTGTCAGTAACTAATTCTGAAAAGTTGTAATGTCTTTTTCTTGGGATTGGTAAGAGTTAACAGCTTGTTTGGATGGATGCTTCTTACATGTAATATTGTACCGTGTTGTTAGTTTAAATACAAATGTTTATTTTGATTGTTCATTATATCATATCATCAAATCCATTGTTATGTAACCACGAAAAGTCTCATTTATATGATGAGATTTGGTGTGATCACGTTGTTATGTTGGTTTTTTTCTTTGTTGTTGTTGTGATGCTCTTGCAGTTGACATATACGGGGACATTGTTGCTTGGGCTGTGATGGGCAGAAGCTACTTACTGATATTAATTTGTTAGGAACCTATTGGATCAAGGATGGTGATAAGGTTTCTTCTCAATTCATTGTATTGTTTTGGAAAGTTTTCTTTTATCTAATCTTTATATGGTTTGCTGATGTTGCTTGTTGCTAATGCACTGAAATATGCAATCTGTAAAAAGAGATTATTAGATTAGAAACCACATTCCAATAGTTCCAGTCCATCTTATGTCCAGGCTTTGAAGAAACTTTTTTTTCTTAGATGAATCAGGATTATGTCATTTTGCAGTTGAATGTGTGTGGACTGGTACAGATGGAGCTTATAAGTCAGAATTTTGGCTCTTATTGTTCCGATTTGCATTTTTATTGTTTCGATGTAGGAGTATTTGATTGGAAACTAAAAAGCGGTGCATATGGTCTGATGAGAGACATGTAAAAGCAGGTTCAATTACTAAGGCTCCAGAGAATTCTGGTTCATATGATTCTACCAAACCAAAAGGCAACAGATTATCACTTACAAGTAAAGATAAGGGCCAAAGCAGAGAACTCTGTTTATATAAGTTTTAAGAACTTTCTTTTGGAGATTTTATATGGATATCTTCCAACCTAATGAGATATGTACATTTTCCTCTATGAAGCACAAGTGGAACTGTTTGAACATTTCCTTAGCTCGTTAATTCTTGATGTTTTTGCATGTGCAGCTCACATTTATGATGCATGTCTCCATTAGTTACAATCTGGTCAAAACGTGATCAGAGAGAGGACCCTCATGAAAATGAAACCAAGCATGTAAGTTCTGTTTACTGGCTTCGTCATTATTGTCCGTTCATCTGTTCTAATATTGCCCTTCACCCTATTGCTTTGCTATCAATGCTTGATTCTTCCATATAATGCAGACACTAGGCCTTAGTTGTTTGACTTTTGGTTATAAAAGTTGGATCTTGTTCATCTAGGTGTTCCCGTTTATAGTTTCTATGCTGAACATTGACATATATATGTTCCATTTATAGTTTCTATGCCGATATTTTCCAATACTGCTCATCATCATACTGATATAAACCTGGCTGTATTACTTTAATTTGTGTCATAATGCAGAAGAATTGGAAGAATGGACGTAGTGTTGCAGAGTTTAATGCATATATTTATGAAATGTTTGACTATATGTATGAATTTGTCTTGCATAGACGCACTGTAACTTGTAAGAGCAGTTTAGGTAATATCCTCTTTATAAATGCATTTATGCAGACCCAAAGGCTGTGGAAGCAGACAAAAGAGAGGTGAACGGAAGGGTAATCACCATCAAGATGATTTATTAAAGAACCATCAAACTAATTTTAATGACAACAGGTGTGTTGTAGCTATTTGTGAATCCAGGTTGGTTCATTTGTTAAGAGGGTGGTTCCCATACAAGTTGGCAAACCCAGAGAGCAGAATAAAACAGAAGAGCAGTGCATCGCGATCACATGAATGGAAAGCATTCACCTCTAGTTGATAGAAAATTAGTAATTTGTATCATCTTTTCCATTTCCTCATTTGCAGATGACAGTCAATTAGTTGTGCAACATGATTTTACATGGGGTTTGGCATAAAAAAAACTCTTGGGATTGTGTAAAAGAGCACCCCCCCCCCCCCACCAATTCCCTCTCCATGTACACTATTTTCTAGGTTGTGTGTAATCAAATCTTGATTTTCATCATTTTGCCTAAGAACACAAATGCACTAATATCTCTTGGTCATTGCCTCATTGGAAAGAGCAAATCCATCTGGTTTGGGATCTCCATGGTTATTAAGAAAAAGTTTAACTTCTTATGCCTTGACGGTGTAAAAAAAATGCTCATATACGATAAGCATTAGTTGATAATCACATAAAAACATTAACTAACCTATCATCCAAGGTTAAACTACACTGTTAGCATAAAAAGTGACTTAAATCCAGGTTACAAAATTGGTATATGAATTAACTTGTGCATAATATTTCACAAACTTTCAGTTACTCCTTAGTGAATAAAACCAAAAGGCTACTTACCAGCCAATTACCTTTTGTGCATATCAAATGCCAATGCCTTTGGTTATATAGAAATACTAAAAGAAAAACTCTCAGAAAAAAGAAAAGGACCAGTTAGTTGCACATCCATCTCAGCCTCATCAATATGTGTGGCATAGATTGAGATAGCCTTTCTAAGATTTTCCTTCTTCCCTTCTAAAACCACCAAGAAAAATAAAATCAAGAATCAAATCCTCTAAAAAAAATCCCAAGTTCTAAGAAGCCATGGCCAACATGATTATGAGCTCCTCCAAAGCCTTAATCACTTCTTCATCCTCCACCATCCCTTCATCTCCAAGATTCAAACTTTCCCTCACCCAAATCCCTTTTCCAAAACTACCCCTCCCCAGATCACCCAAATCCCTTGAAACCCTCTCAATCCCATCAACTCTCAAGTCCATTTCAGTCATTCTTGCAAGCTCATTGGCTATTGCACCACCTTCACTAGCAGAAGAAATTGAAAAAGCTTCCCTTTTTGACTTCAACTTGACACTTCCCACCATGATGGCTGAATTCCTGTTTCTCATGTTTGCTTTAGACAAGATTTACTTCAGCCCATTAGGGAAATTCATGGATGAAAGAGATTCTGCTATTAAGGAGAAACTTAGCAGTGTAAAGGACACATCTACTGAAGTGAAGCAACTGGAAGACCAAGCTGCTGCAATTATGAAGGCTGCAAGGGCTGAGATATCAGCAGCATTGAACAAGATGAAGAAAGAGACTCAGCAAGAAGTGGAACAGAAGATTGCAGAAGGAAGGAAGAAAGTTGAGGCTGAATTGCTAGAAGCTTTGGCTAGTTTAGAGAATCAAAAAGAGGAGACAATGAAGAGTCTTGATTCTCAGATTGCTGCTCTTAGTGATGAGATTGTCAAGAAAGTTCTTCCTGCCAGTAATTAATTCTGAAAAATTTGTCTAGTAAAGATATATAAATGTGAAAATATTTGGTCTTTTTATATCATGAATCTCATGTGTACATCTTGGTTTTTGGTAATAATGAGGATTCTAAGTGATTTTTCAGGATCTTGTTTATGTAGTTAAAAGAAAAATTGAAACTTGAAAGCCAGAGATCTGCTTATCTCTCATTACTGTTTTAATGGATGTAGAGGATTTATAAAGTTGAATCACAGTAATTTGAAGGCACAACAACAACAATAAGAAATTTATCTTAATAATTACCAGTTTAGACATGTTCTTGTTATTAGTTTAATGTTTTAGATTATTTAGTCCTAAAATCTTAATCACTCGAATGTAGATCATGA